GATGTATAAACAATATTATGCTCTGTTTATTTCCTACGCTTTTCACAATCTTTTCCAACCTTCTCATATTTTACGGTCGTCAGATTCAGATATATAAGAATGGGTAGTAGGTCAAACTCGTTTGGCTTAGTTTCGTTTATTCGCCTTTGGATTATGCTGACACTCGATTTATTCCGTCAGTCGTCTGTTTCTTCTGTTCATTTAGCTTCTTGTTAGCGTACTTATAGTTAGTATTACTTTTATATATATCTGCCGCTTGTTAGCATCATATGTTATAATAATTTTAATTTTTACCGTTATCATATAATTGCATTTATATTGAGGTAATAAAAATGTTTGTTGCTCTAGGCGTTTGTTTACCATTTATTCGATAGTTTTTACTTTTACTCCTCGCTGTTGATAGATGTCCTCGTTACGTTGTTGTCGCTTGGTTGATAGTTTGCTTGTGATTCTTCCTGTCGGTGGTAAATAACTCTCATTCTTGCCGATAATTCGATCTTGATTACGTTTTGTTGTTGTAGCAGCTATAGGTTCGCACTAGTTCAACCCAGGGGTAGTAAATGCCTCGAGTTCCAGTCCCTACACTTAGCGTCTGCATTGGCCTCCTGGTCTTTGTCTGTGTGCATATCTAACTATAAAGCCAATCTCAGCTGTCGAACTTAGGACAACAATATTTCGCTACCTCAATATCAGTGTGACGATATGAGTCGCGCCCAAACAAAGCCTATTACATGTACTATAATTGACTATACGTGAGAGTTAACGATCGTAGCAGCGATAAAAAGAAAAGGAAACGCCAACTGAGGCATCGGTTGCCCTCGTCCATTCAAACAAGCAATGACGCGTAAATGACTTGAGTAGAAAAAGCCATCGAAAGAAAATTTAGATATATCTCGAAAGTGGCTGTCGAAATATTCAGCTAATCAACAATTTTACTTTAAAGTGTAACGTAGCTAAATTGTATGTTGGATATTTTTAGTGAAGATTATTGGATGAACAGATAAGCAGAAACAGGTGCTTGACAATCGAGGCTTAGAGTACTTTGTATTCTGCACGTAATGTGTCAATGCTAATCCCTATTTACTTTTCTCTAACATTTTCCACGCATTATAGATAAACTGGGTTCCTTATATCCTTGGGCACATAATTGCAAAAGCGTCAATCTAGCCACATATAGGACCGTACTCGTTGCGTATGCTAATTATGCTCTACTGTATTGATTAACTACGAAAATTTATCTATTGTACTAATTTGAGAGACTGGCGCGCAGATCTTTTTTTCATCCACGGCGAAGCTTCGTTGGACTCAACCGTGTTAGAGAAAAGTGGCGAAGCGTCTAACCTGTAAAGATGTCTTTTGTGGGAGAAACACTATCTGAAGCTGATCTAAAGATTTTCGCAGTCGAGTCTCTGCTTCGTGCCTGTAGTTGTTGTAAATATCAGCAGAGAGAAGTGGAGCGGACGGACGCGTCGTTTATTCGACGGACAGCATCTACCCCAGGGGCGCAGAAGCATCTCTTACGTCGGCATGCCCTCTGCGCTGGGGAGGGCATTAGAATCCCCTCGCTGAAGAGGCTGATAAGCGAGGGGTTTGTACCCTGCCTTGCTAAGCAGAGGGTTCGTCTTCAAAACAGCTATTCTAGATCACGATCTTTCTCGTTCACCATTTCCCTGTTTTTACAGTCATATTGGCTGTCCCTCATTGTATGACTTTAGTTCAACTCAGTCTGTGGATTTATGATTTAAAAATTAAGGCTTGCAGCGGCCCAGCATAACCTTATCCAGTTTATAGTTTGTAATTTTAGCTGTAGAAAATCTTTCTCATTTCTAAGCTGGCCGTTGGCCGTTCTATTACTAGAATATCACGGTTTTTGCTATAATATTAATATACTCTTTTTGCATAATACAATTGATAAATGTGACTAGTGTTTCGATATGGGGTGCATTAATTGAACACGTTTTGTATATAAAAGAGTGGACTGAGAAATAAATGTGACCAAAATGAATTGGTTCTAGTGTTTTAAATAATTTGACTGTTTTTGTTATTATAAAGATTTCACAATTATATGTGGTACCATCGTTTGCTGTATCACCTCATTACTGTTTTTCGAAACCGCCCGCCTTTAGCAGTCAGCTTTCTTCCATGCGGTGATAATAACAATACGATTTTGAGGTTTCTATATTTGGTTACAGTTTGTTGGCCTTGCGCTGGTTGTCATCTGTCCAAACGGTTCCAAACATTTTTGTTGTTATTCGGTGTTTGATGTCCTGGACTACTCTGCCAAATGTGTTCGCGGAGATTTTTATTATTTTTTTTTTTAATATTTATAATAATAATAATATTTGTCTTGGCGTTCAGATGATCATCGTCATCAGTCGTAAGTGATAGATAAATGAAATGGCTAGTAATAAAAGAAATTGATTTTATATTATGCGAATGGTACTATAATTTCCTTAGTTCCTCTTTTATTGACAAAAACTGTGCAATGTATTATTGCAGCGTGTAGAATACCTCGAGACAGAATGGACTTACTCTGTGTTCTACAGTAATGCTAGTGCATAGTAGCTTTTTATCCCGTAACGATAAGTTGCTGTTGTACAGGGCGGGTAAATTTTTTAATCAAATGAGTTTTTTGCTGACTAACATCACTGTTTTCATAATTAAGCTGATATAGAAGAGCGTTCAGTTTCTTTTTCAATTCAGGACTGTAGCTGCATTTCTCTAAACATCTCTTTATGTATCGAATAATATCGAAACGATCGTCTACGTACCGCTGGTAACAAGCTAGTTTTAACTTTCTGCCTGTTCGATATATAGCAAACTTGCAGTTGTTGTACTGAAAATTTTACGTGTAACCAAAACGCTAGCATTGAATATAGTCAGCGTCAATGTATGATTATCAGACATCATCCATCTAAGCACTATCTGTCCTAGTGCACCAAGTAAGCTCCTACGACGGCCTTATTGATACTGTTATTAATACCGTAGCTCATTCACAATCAGTTTATCCCTTATTAGATGGTACAAGTGAGTCGATTCACGCTTCAAGTTTATGATACGACGTCGTTTAATGGCTGAGGTAGCTCGATTTATTATAGAAATTTCGAACTATTTTCGGTTTCGCATAACATGTATCAGTGGTTGTTAGATGTACTTAATGTTAGCTCAAAAATGACAAATTACGCTAGTATGCAGGCCAGCGCGTTGGGTATTTGAGCGATTCTCCTACTAGATTTTGAGACTTAAGATAGATAGTTTGGATAAGGAAATATACCGAAGTACTGATAATTTGGTGTGTCCTGTTATTAGCTTTTTTTTCTATTATACTTTATGCGGTGATTGGTGCTATAAACAAGTGGTGTTTCTAACTGTTATCGATGTCATTGTTGGTCTTCGCATTTCCTCAATGGTCCGGAAAGGGGATCAGCTCAAGACAATAACCGGCTCTGTCATAATCTGTTTCTCGTCGGTGGCGTACGTTTTCATTTACTCGTTCGCTTATCATCATGGAGTCGTTACTCATTCTGTGTGAAATTACATCATGCTGTGCTGTATAGTATTGTATCAATGTCCATGTATCCTATGATTTTCTTAGGTTGTTGGATCAATAATCAATCTACGTATATATGTATATGTAGATCAGTTGTGTTAAACAGTATTATTCATTGGTTGTTATTGCAGGAGCAATCAATCTTTCAATGAATTATTAGGTTTTTTTTCTACGATAAAACCATATATACGTGAATGTTTGCGCGTCGTCTTAGAGTTTTTCAATGTTTCCTTTGTTGTTGTCGTTGTTCTGCTGCACGTTACAAACGCATGTCAGGTAGTAGATTTTCTTTCAAGTTGCCTCTGAGGTGACTGCAGTTAATGCGATTATTACATTCCTAGCGGTTCCTGCTGCTGCTTTTCTTGTCATCGCAAGCAGCTCCAGAAAGAAGCCTTCAAACTAATCAGCTAAGCTTAAGGTAAATTCCTGTGCCATTTGATGGCTATGCGTAAACAATCGACGATGTTACATTGTTTTCAATTATTCTTTTATTTTTTTCATTTGTCTACACTATAAGCTTACTGCTTTTTTCCGTTCTGGTTGGTTCATTGTGTATATAAACAGTACAGCTTCTCGTCGACATATGTAATAATCGGGCACAGCCCTATGATCCTTTGCAGGTCATTGACGATTTTAGTAGTAAAAATTATAATTTTGCTATTATTTTAATTGTATTACTTTATAATTATGATTGATATGGGTTCCTGCAGTTGTTTGTAGAACGATGACAATCACAATGCAAAAGGTGTGTCCGACGATCTCCACGAGACCTACAGGGGCAGTAGTTGTTGCTGGGTATTCACAGATTCACAACACTTGGTTCGGACATTTAGGAAAATTGTTTGTTTTCAGTGACAAAAGGTTTAACCAAATAGATACAGCTGGCGCGGTTTAACACTAGGTCGAGTATAGTAAAATCGTCCTGGATTTCACCGTCTGTCTGTAGTTGTAGTAGCAGATGTAACTTCTTAATTCCAATATAGTGTAATGAAACAGCAGGATGTGTAAAAATTGTGTTCTTTCTGGAACGCTGCAGTATTCAAGTAAGTTGACACTGAATATGAAATGATTCGAAGTCACTCTAAATTCGTTTGTCTTCTACATCGTTTTACAGCGGGAATAGAATTGTTGGATGCGTTGCTTGTCGTTCGCTATCAGACGATTGTTATTATAAGCTAAAAGTAGTTTACATTGTCGAGGCAAAGGCTTTAGACACTATTTAGTATATTTATTTGTAGCCTCGGACGATGAATGCTGGTTGGCTTCGGTGTTGTTACTTCTAATTGACCAATGTTATGTATACATCTTGATGCCATCTTAGTAGGTCGTTCTATTGATTCTTGATAATTTCATGGATTATGCGACTCTTCCTATCGAGCGGGATTGGCCTAGTTGTCGAGGGTCTTGACATGACAATGATCACAGTTCCTGCTTGCCATAGTTGCAAAAACGTAACTAGTTAGTATTTGTTAACAAGGCCGTATTTGTGTCCACTCAACGGTGGCTGCGACATATCGTTCCATGTGTATTGTATAAACAATCATAACACCAGAAATACAAATTTGTCTCTAAGTTGTGAAGCGGAGCAAACGAAATTGTCAGAGCCTGCTTTTTTGATGTTTGCACCGTTTCGTGTAGTCTGGATGGATGGTAGAACTTCTCTACAGCCCTGTTCCGTCTTCTGTTCTTCTTCTCAGAACAAATGACTTTTGCTTAAACTTATACGCCGTAAAGCGTATTACACACTGGGCAGCGCTTCACAGTCTTACGATCGGTATTACTATCGGGGATGCTATCTGCATTCGAGTTCCTTCGGCATACAGAAATCTGACCAGTCCTTGCACTATTAGTGTGTGTTTTGGTAAGTACACATTGAGATTTAATAATAGATAACTGTTGTTTCACTTGATTCGCGTGAAATGGTAAGGCACCCAGTCAGCTGGATGTGAAGGCCACTTGGTGTCGCCAGTAGCTAAGCACAAGCAGAAAGACCACAGTCCTGTTATATCCTGGGACAACGAACCGTTAATAGATCTAGAAATCGGTTTCTCACGCAGACATATTTAAAGCACCTTAAGCGACTTGTACTCATTTCAGCGGATTCCCCGATCAACAGTAGTGTAAATGCTTGTCGAATTCGCGTATATGTAAACTGCGAAATGAACCCAGTTTTTGTCTCACTTTGCTTTCGTATGCATCTTCTCGCTGCAGGTAATATTACAGAAGCACTTATAGGACCAGTCAGCGTTTCGCACGGCCTTGCTCAGGCTTATTGTTGCTTAATTGTTCGATCCGAGGCTGAACTCGGATGTTCGGAAGCTGATGTTCATACAGTCAGTAGCAGCTCATGAATGCCTCATTTAGGTTGCAGCAGCTATTCAAATAGTTACTCAAGCTCTTCGGAAAGTTCAGGAAGGGCTGTGCGGGACCTGGTAATCGGTTTGAGCATGTCTTGACTGTCTGAGCTATCTCGCACCTTTTATTATTATTATTATTGTTATTAGTATTGTTTCATTTGGCTGAAGGCCGGATAGCGTAAGTCAGAGATGGAACGTGTGCAAGGTGGGTCGTAACAGCGCGGCCGTTTCGCGGACACTCACGCGCACCACCGATGGTTTCCCACCATCAGCAGAAGCTCCCCTCTGCGAAGCTGAGCCTGTGGCATTAGTCGGACCGGGAATGATCGCAGATCCATGCGCTGACGAGCCAGCGTCTTTTGGCAAGTTGTCTCGCAGGTCAAGCGACTGCTTCATTAAGCTTCCGCAAAAACCAAGAGGTGATTTCGGCGACTTAGAACTGGAGCCGTTGGTCTTTTCGACGGCCACATTGCGATTTGATGAAGCCATCTGCCTGGTGTTACTGCTGTTGAGAGCCAACGGGCCACTGCCCAGCTTGGTCCGTGGCGACGTCCGGATGAGGGCTGCTGCCTCATCGGCTTCGTCTCCACCCTCGTGAGCTGTATCGTCCTCGAGCGAATCGTCAGCCGTTGTTCTCTCCGACTCCAGCGAACTGTCGCCAGTTGCCGCCACTCGAATTGCTGGAACTGCCTTGACCTCGACCTGAAAAAAAGTACACCCAAATACATAGGCAACGAACGCATGCAAAGACAGAATACAGTAGAACATATTTCTTCACTACAAAACAGATTTGCATAGCCAACTGAAACTTGAAAGCGTAACCGACCGGTCAACGAAAACGTCATTGGTATATGCGGAGAAAGAATGATGGGCTTGTTATGTGCAGCTGGAAGCGGAGCCGATAAAAGGAATTTTGTCCGGACGAATAGAACTCACAGGTGTCCTGTCTTCAATGTATGTGTGTATTCGTCCACAGTTGTATACAACAAGCCTCATTGGGCTCAGAAATGTATAAATATGTGTTACTTCAAGTTGACAAATGGTTTATGATGGACACGAGAAATCTTACAGTTGGAAATGAGCGACGTCCTTACTTCAAGAAACATGTGCCATTACGCACATCTACAGGTGGTCATACTTCAGAAATAGGTATGTAAAGTGTTCTTTAGCTGCATCTGACAAGCGTCTTTTTAAGAAAGCTGTATGATTTATTCCATTGCTCATGACAGTGAGCGTTCAAATTTACTCCAGTTCGCTTTAGGGACGAACTTCTAAATAATAGCGTGAAGTAATGCGCTTCTTATGAGCGTATTGAAAACAAAGTCCACAGTTGCCTTTTACGCTCGATGAACGTCATAATGTTTTTGTTTTAACAAATCATGTACTTTTTAAGTGAGCAAATCTAGCTAGGTACAAAATGCATTTCTATAAATGCTTGAAAAATCTATTCCTAAAAATAATGAACTTCTTCAGTGCTAAAGCGTCGAAGAAGGACGTATACAGGAGTTTCACTTTGCCTGTAGTCAAGGCGGCACATCGCTAAGCTTATTGCTTAATGCTGGCGATTTAAAAAAGTGTCTATACGAGTATGTTCGCATACCGACGGTGAAACCAACGCGTCTGTTGTACATTATAGTTGAGGGTCGCAAAAGCTTTGCCGCTGATTTGCATTTAGTATATTGAAACTCAATCGGCAGTCGAGCTTGATTAGGGCAAGAGTGCAAGTGAAAATAAAGTTGAACTCTTCTCCTAAGCAATGTGTTTTCCCTGAGCTTACGCAAGCTGAGCGGAAGAGTTTTGGATAAAGTAGCCCTCTATCTGCAGGCCATCCTTGCATATTAGGGCGGCAACGGAACCGTCGTGACCATCATTGAACGCTGGTGTCTTGAGGCTGCCGATTGCAGCTAACTTAGCTAGCGCTGATAAGGCTTCAAGCCGATATGGGCCGCCGTAATCGAAAATAATCTTTTCAAGACCTTGACATGCGTGCATTTTAATCTTTGGTGACCATAAATTTCAAAAATGCCAAGCAAACGCGCAGTTTTTGGGTTAAACAAATACGTTAAGCAACTTAAGATTTAATCGATTTAATGTTAACCTTTAGATAAAAAGGCCAGTTAAAAATGCTATGACTATTGTGCTGAATATAAGCAATAGACCACCAAGCAATGTATTGATGGTAGTGACCTATGACTCGACTCTAAATATTTATGTAAATACAGTTTGAAACATTTATTGAACATCGAGTTAATTAAGTACTAATTATATATAGATATTTTTGTGGGTAATATGCCAGTGGTAACGAATTTGTTTACGGAACTGAGAAATATGTGATGTAGCCTAGGTTCGAGACCGGGTGTAGATACGCTGTATTTTATGTTGGAAAGGGCTTGCCATCTGAAGCAATGTTTAGCCATAATACTATACTCAAACAATTTATTTAGATATGGATATTGTAATGTTAAGTCATTTTTAAAATTATCGAACGCGTGACATTTATTTCAGTTTTATTCAATGAAAAGCGTTGGACGTTTTTAAGTAAGCGTATCATTTCCGAAGTATTTTTTCGATTCTTTTTGTTATTGTCTTGTTTGATCTTTGCCTTGAGATCCTAGTTAAATTCGTCCGTTTATTTATCAAAAAACAATATGCATAGAAGCTGTGAGGACAATACTGAGCTGCCATAGCGGATTCCTAGTACGTGATACCTGTGTAACGAACCCTCGTTTTCATAGGCTTTAGCGGCTTCTTAATAGCATCCTCGGAAACCCTGAGCCCTAAATGCGACAATGATCATTGTAGTAGTAAATTAAATTAAAATGACCTTAAAGTGGGCATTCATCACGCGAATTTGAGTCGCTGTAGGAGGACACCGTATGACATGCTACTATGAAAGCGAATAGGAATATTCGAGAAATCTGTTAGTAAGAAGACTGACGACTCTTTGGCTAGGCGTAAAAGGTCCATAACCAACACAAATTTCGAGTGCGTCTTAAAAGTAGTGCGTATGCGCAGGAAGTTAACGAATGTATGCTTGAAACCCGCATTTTAAAGAAGTGTCATGGTACGGTGGTAAGCGGAGTCGTTACTTGATTCAGTCGGTACCTGAATGATTATTATAACATAGTAGGAGAAATCGGGCAGGAAGTAGTATATATCGTTTCATATATAGTGAATATGACACACTATATATATATATATATACTATAATAACAAATTATTTTTATTAAATCATCCATATTGCGGTGTATACTATCACATTAAAACTAAAACATGACCAAAGATTTCGCTCATATGAAACGTACTGAGAGTACCAGTTATTGCCGCTATAAAGCGGACTCAGGCGAAATCCAGCCGCCGCATATAAGCCTTCACTACCAGAATATCAATTGCCCAGTTTGCTTTGTGTTTGGATAACAGTTTCTGCATATATAAAAGACGCTTTATCTAAAAAAGCTTTACTAGATATATTTACTTGTTTAGTTTTCAATTTACTAGATAGATGGATGGGAAGATGTATAGGTTTTTGCACGACACCTATTTCTTTTGCACAGATTTTTGAAACATAGTCGGTCACTTGTAAATAGAGAGTTTGAATGAGTTAAAGCAAGGCGAACGGCTTTCCATTGTATAAAATTAATCAAGAATGAATATATCTCAGAAAATGGTTGCGCGTGCGACTACGTTAAATTGTCTTTTTCATTGTGTACGTGCTTTAGTAAAAGGGGTAAGTTCGTATAAAATTGCCTATTGATTTAGTAACAAGTTCTAGTTATTATCTCGAGAAGATAGATTTAGCGAGAGTTTATATTAGAAGAAGCTTTCCTTAAAACTCGCGTGATCAATAGTTTCCCAAATCTATTTGTAAAGCTTGGAAAATTACCTGGCTGATGGGTATAAGGATAGAAAATGGCGAGAAATGCAGGGATCAACATAGAAGTTTGAATTGATGATAGGCAACTTTTGAATATCATGTAGCTGCCTTTTGAATCTAGAAGGGCACAAATGAGATTTTAATAAATAGACAATTATTTTCATGTTACCACGTCGGTTAGTCACAATAGGTATCACTGGTTTATGTTTTAATCATTCAAACAGACTGATTGACCAATAGTGGCTGCACAAGCAAGAAAAACAGCAAGCAGAAATGACTTGGACAGGGGAATGTTTTTATAAAATTTTTCTGGCAATACAACGAAATTTGTAAGAGTGCAAATTCAAAAACACGGGAAAAAACGGGATTAGGGTTACACGGATAGGTCGAGTTACAGGATATATTGAGGTCTTTGGTAGGGAGTAGGACAAAGGCCGGAAACACGCACTTGAAGTGAAATGTAATTTTGGAAAGCCTCACGAAGACAGTGGATCCTTACCTATGTCATACAACTGTCTCGAGCTCGTTAGAAAGGCTCTCGCACTTAGAAAGACTCTCTATTTCACCTGAAACACCTTCTGTGATATCTAAAAGAGACAAAGATCAAAGGAACAACAATACGACGAATAATGAACAACGGTATTCTATTAAAAGCGACTCGTTTTATTCGGTAGCCCCGGAAAAAAGGTAGAGCTAGCTAACAAACGTTAAGAACAATTAAAACCAGAGTATCAGAAATAGTTGTTTATCGTGCATATTTCCACTTATTAATTATAATCTGCTATCATTAAGTTTGTTCTGTATTTCATAACCTCGATCAGTTTATACCTTTTATGCGTTTTCATTCAAAATCCCGTAAAAAAGAAGCGAAAAATATCATAAAGTCTACGCAGATAAACGTTTTTTTCCTAAGCAGTACCGACAAAAAGTTTCCACCTAAACCTCAATAGTAAGTGCTGATTTAATGGCTTGTTAGGGGGCCAATAGATTGATGGGCTAGTGGCTTGAACCGTTAATCGACACAAAATGGTATAACTATCGATGGCTAGGTTTCTTCATGCCGTGGGATGGAATAATATGGTTATGCGAGACTAGCCATGGTTAACTCTAATTTAGGTAATGACTGCCTATGATCTATGGAATTATCTGCAGAATTATGAACTGCAGCAATAATAAGCTAAAGAAATTGTACATTCATACAATGAAACCAGTTTATGGAGGTTAGCTATCTGAACAGATAACTCAACGCAGCTTCAAAGTCAATGGTGGCCCATTTCAACAAAAGACTATGTCTTTGAAGCGATAGATACTGCTATATATTATATGCTAGCCTTTTGTACTGTGATCACGCTTGCGTACCCCGGACATTACATTTAGCAAAGGGCTTCTTGCAGTAATAATTCATAGGTCAAGCAAAAATTGGCAAATACTATTTCGTTTTACTTGCATTCCTTTTTTAACGACGATAATCTTTATCAATTATTTCGGAAAGCTGATATTTTTTATACTAAAAAAAGTGTATACGCGATAACAAATATAATGAATAAACATGGGCCCATTGTTCTTAAATCCAAACTAAATTGACCCTATGAGTATATTAAAAAAAAAAGATCTATCTATAGACATTCTATGAAATTAGAGGATTTTGCACATATTGGGTGTGGCTTTTCAAGATGGGTTGTATGAAAAATGGAAAGGCTGGTGGAGCAAGGACAAATTTCAAGTACGTCAGCGACTATAGGCGACTATAGTTAATTTTAAACAAACTTTGGCGGATTGTTTATCTTACGGGGCACAACTTTGTACTCTATTTGGCCCACTGTCTACTGTTTTGAAACCAAAGTAACGAAGTTATCTCGCATAAAATAGTGCGTCATTTTTGCAGTCGAAGAAAAGATCGGCTATTATCCAATATCTCCACACGACACAAACCGTTTCTGTTTTTACTCAGATCGATGTCTTTCACCATTGCCAGTTTTCATGCAAAGGCAACCCGATTGTCAGTAGATTAGTATTCAAAGGCCCCTTTGATACACCTGGATTTTTGATGCAACATTGACAGCTGTTTCAGAAATATCAATTGCCAATTGGGTCGTCCAGATGAGCTCAAACGGTTAGTCTTTTTGAGGTTCTTGAGATATATTGCGACTTGATATGCGAATACTTGTAACGATCAAAGAAATAATCTTTCAAATACAATGAGTGAGTAATTTAGATTACGAACTGAAGTTGAGGCTATATAGTTACCAGCTATGGTATTCTAAAAAATATAGGTGAAATTTTTGTTGTTGCTTATATATACAGTCTTAGAAAAAATTATTAATAAGTCCGAATTAAGATGGGTCTTTCATGCCAAGAATACCACTGAAGCTTACCTATTGCCGCATGTTTTCGGGCCGGATAAACCTCTATCACAAACTTTCCCAGTCACCCTAAATCGACGACCTACGTCGCAATTAGTTCCCATGTAGCATTCGAAGAATTGGAGGTAGATTTCAATGACCCAAAGCGAGGGGAAATAAAACCTCTACAAAAGAAGATAGATTGAACTTGATTGAGAAGTCACCACAGTAGCGCAAAAAGGGTTTACTTTCGTAATTTCGACACTCTTTTGCAGAAATTAGCGGTTGTTTTCGTGAATTTAGCATTTATGGCTAATTAGGTCATCGAAATTAACCTAAGCCTTACAGGGACTTATTTGTGTATCTGTCTGTGAACGATACAAATCTGTGACTATCAGTACTGTCTTATTTATTGTTACCACTATTAAAAAGTTACTGACAAATTTAGTGAAGCGACTTCTTGTTGCTATCAACATTTAACTTATTAAGTTGCACCGACTTGATTCCCATGACAAAAAGATTTTATCAGCAGATAGGCTGAGTTGCTCTCCGCGAGGTGTCAAGGTGTCACACAATTGACAATTTTTTTTAATTACTTTTTGCTTTAAATGCAGTCGGAGAGGCTCACTTATTTTATTCAATAGTGCTGCCGTGCGACCTATAATCTATGCCAACCTTATTAAAAAAACAGATCGATAAGCTGTTTTTTCTTCTTCTTGTCGTGGAAGCTGATACACCGAACGCTCGATCTGCAGTATGAATCAGGACATGTTTCTAAAGCGTCGATATCGCCTTGTCGCTGTCAATTAGCAGCAATCGTCCCTTGAACCAATTCAATTGTGCTCGTAAAGCACATAAGCTCTGAGCAAAAATCTTTACGGAGTGGTTTCTGTGCTTGAGCGTAAAAAGAGAAGAGTAACTTTTAGCACCAATACTTTTTCTCGAAGTAACGTGAATTGCTATCGATGCAGTTTTATCTACAAAGGATGCGCGGTAGCGTGGACGGCTAAATCTAGATGTTTTGAGTCTTACTTCCGGTACCGCTATTGGGCGTTCCATCAGACTGCTAGCATCTGCCAGCGCGAATCAAAGCGTATCTACACCTAGCTCGAACCTAGACCACCTCGAGTTTCTAAAGTTCAGTAAACAAATACGTTTTCTACTAAGTGGACTGCTACAGCTTTGGCTAAAAAAAGTCAGGGGTCGCTGGTTCAAACCCCCTTTAACGACATATAGTACACGACAGTAGAGAAAAACGCAAACTCTATTCACAAAACAGCAAACTGCGACTAACATTTTTCTTTCGACAACTGACATCACTAAAGACCAGCTGCCAGCACTATATGTATACATGTAGGAAATGGATTGTCTGGTTAGGACTTCTGGTTATGAGTTTCTTTGTTGAACTTCATTTCAACAAAAATTGATATTTCAATGAAATTTCTCGCGTGTGTTATTATAGATGAGCATGTTTAATCACGTTAACCACAGTTCACTTCCACTATTGCCCCGATTCGGGGACATGAGTTACAAAACATTATTTGTTCGCAGATAGCTCTTTGACGCCAAGCGATAATGGTAAGTGTGCACTCACCTAGACACGCCTCGAATATGCGCAGTACAAAAATCCAGCGGATCTAAATTTTGGGCTGATAGCAAGCTGACGGTCTCAAATCTTCAAGGTTTCAAAGTGGTCAAAAGTGACATGGATAAAGGCGCAAAAAGACAAACTTTGTAAACTTATTTGGACGACGATAATTGGCAATGGATATTCTTCTCTCCCAAACAGCCTCTAGCTTTATTAAAAGTTTGGGATAATGAAGAATGGCTTTTATGCCACGCTGGTGGATTTTTTGTTAAAAAATCCTAGCTTTCCCACATACAATAGTTCTTCCGTAGTAGTAGCAGCACTAACGTAAATTGTTAATTTTGATCGGAAAAGAAAGTTTCTCATTTGTGCAGAGGTTAGTTGTCCTTAAAAAGATTAGACAACAGCTGATCTTCTAACCGAATGCCGAAAATGGAGCACTATGTTTTAGCATGGCTGCAAGCTTGTCTGCCCCTTTTTAAATCGAGCTTTCACACATTAGTTTGTTTACCTTTCTGGATAAATGCACATGACCAGTTGAAAAAAAATCTCACTTTGGTCAGTGCACCTCGTGTGTGTGTGTCTGTGTGTGTGTGTGTGTGTACACGCGAATGTATATTTATATAAATACTGTGACAAATGTTTTACGTGTCTTAGCGTAATCGAATAAAACGTCCAGTAACAGGAGAAAGTGTCACTGAGGAAAGCTCGGTAGAGGAGATAGATATAAGACAAATTCTTGTCAATTCGAGTAGCGGGTTCACTAAAATAATTGTGATTGTATGATATATTGAATTAATAAGGCGAGCGCTGAAATGACTGCTAATTTTTTCATACAAACTGTAACGATACACTTTTTGTTTTTAGCGGTAAATAAACACATAATTTTGACGTGCTATGATTTATGGCCGTAGTTAACGTTTCTTGTTGAAAAAAAAAAGTATGATTATTATTAAAAAGAGCATTAAAAAGCGCGATTTCCAACACAAACACATCAGTTAATCTCATGTCCAGCTTATGTCAATCATTTGAAACAGTGAAGTCATAACCCTCCAGTCGCATAAAACGTCTGAGATCAAAGAAGAGAAACGCTCTTTTCGGCCATAAGATAAAAGCATACGCATAAGGCAGCATAGTAAACAATTTTAATCTAATCTTATATGTGGCAGAATCTCATAATTTCTAGCCCAAACCGTAATATAATACAAATAAAAACTCGATATAATTATATACTTTTAAATAATGACGACCATATATGGATGTGCATAAGTTTGAATCTAAGTCACAATGGGATAGTATCCAAAACATTTTAACACAGGAAAGACAGATCCAAATCATTGCATATAGAAGATCAGCAGCAAAGCGGTTCATTCTGGTTGCTATTGATAGCGATGGTTTCTTTGTGTGTCCAACGCTCAAATTAGCATATAACAGCACAAAATCCCTACCAATGAAGAGCGCATGTCGTGTATTTCATTTACGCAGCTAAGTGAAACCTTGTTCTCGAAGTACTTTGCATAGATTATAGTGTCCACGCAGTGGATGACTGTAAAAATATACGGTTATATCTGAATAATCTGCTATGCTTCATACCGTGTATATATATACACTGAAATAGCGTTGGCGGGAACTCGTTTGAGATATCGACTGCCAGTGGACAGTATAAACAGGAGACAATACACACACAAAGGTCTTTAAACTACGATCGGCAGCGTTAAGCTTGTAAATTTATTGCCGGACTAGTTTAATCGCACGGAATATCGATGAAGATTAGGTTAATAACGATGGCCCCATGGACGAGACCATGGCTGCAACAGTGGATTGAGTAAAGAGATGATGATCAGGTGAATTTACATTTGCAAGCGCTCAAGATACAATATAATTTGTATGTGTAGTCACCCGCACGCATTTCGTTGCTGAACATATCGGTGATTTTTTACAGGTGCAAGATTCACACTTCTGATTTATTTAACATGCTGAATTTATTGTGCCGCTAAATGACTACTGATTTTCAGAATATCTCAGGAAATAAATAATACATTTGTAGATGCACTCGTTTGCGAATCAGAAGCTCGAAGCAAAGGCACTTATAATAGGCCAGGCTATGGATACAGTCAATGAACAAACTAATAACATTAATTAGAACAAGCTCGCGATGACAAAGATAATAAAAATAAAGACGAATGGGAAACGAAAACCGATGGAACGTGAGTGACCGATGTGTATGTGTAGTATAAAGTGTAGCTGTTGAGGTCGTCGCACAGACGTACCGTTGGTGGAGATGAGGCCTGAGTCTGAGGCTGAGGTGGAGATGCGGGTTGCTCGGTTGTGGTCAGGGGAGAATCGGATGGGATAGGTGGGCTAGCAAGGGTAGCTAAGGGGTTCACGGAGGACACTGCAGTTGCCGAGGGTGACACGGCAGTTGACTGCGACTGTAGGGGCAGCTGAGATAGGTACTGAGGTAGGTGGGGTACACTCTCTGCCAGGCCGGAGGTGACGACTGCCGGTTGGTCCAAACGGAATGGAATTGGCTGAGACATGGGCAAGGAATAAGGAGGGTACGAGCTCGAAACCGACGATCCGATCGGCCCGGAACCTGCCGGAGGTTGAAAGGAGGTCAGTGGCCCCGGCGATGGGCCCATTGGAGCGGGGCTACTGCTCTCCAGGGGGCCCTGATCGGGAAGCTGGCCTCCTCCGAGGGCACCCAAGGGGCCTTGGAGCGGGGGTGGGGGTGAGGACGTAGCCATCGGGGGCGGAGTGACCGATCTCTGCGAGGGAGCAATCGAGGGCGCTATCGAAGGAGGCGGCGGTGGTGGAGGCCCACCGTGCAGCAGGCGAGACATCCGGGGGGGCACGGGCTGTGCCGGACCCCGCCGGTCTTCCAGGTACATCTCCAGCAGCTGGTCCAGCTTTGACTCGATGTCCTCGACGGAACGCTCCACCTTGACGATGCGCGATGCTAGAGATTGCTTCGAGTCGTACACGTCTTTTGCCTTGGATCCCGCTTTTCCAAGAATCAGGTCGAGTCGCGCCTGAATGTTCTTCGTCCGACCCAACAGGTCCACGTGGCCTATGAATAGTATTGAACAAGCAAACAAACATGTGTAATGATCGCCCTCTGCATTTACCGAACAAGTAAGCAACTTTGGCCCAATGGACAAACTATGATACATGGATGAAACAATGAAAGGGTAAATTTTCTTGCTCCCTTCTATAGGAAAATTAAGTTTAATCCAATGCACTTAAATTATTAATATCCTTGGATCTATTAATTGAAAATTAAAAAATTGACCTTTTAATTGGAAAGAGCATGCCACTTCGGTAAGGGAGTCTATCTGAACGTATGCCTTGAAAATTTATAGATGAAACAATTTAGCTTTTCGTAAGTAGTCGGCAACCGTGGAACTTGATCAGCTTAGTTGCGACAGGCAGCTTTAATGCCACGGCAGATCTAACAAAGAACCTGCACATCGATGACCTTTGGTGGATCAGTCAAGAGGTAACCAAGCAGTGAAATTTATAAATCAATAGTTTTCACAAATATTTGGTGTAATGATCGTTTGAATTAATTAGAGTTTAGTGTCGTTAGAACCTATAAACTTATCTTCGGTTCAGTCTGATTATTGACCTGCAGTTTACGTAGTCCTTCTAATCGGTTTGAGTCTCAACGTCACTATCGTGCAAGTCGTTGGCAAAACTCAGGTCTATCTAAGTTTTCACACTCGTATCGTTCACAAGCACACAATCGTATAGAGGAGGGGGAGGGGAGGACACACATTATATCTTGTAAAAATTGTGTCTTCAAGCGTTTGAAACGGTGCGTTTTTTAAAGCACCAGGCGCTTAGTATGAAATACCATGAATATTGTAATCAATAGCGCATCGTTTTGTTAGTCACTGCCTTGTTTACCTATTGCAGTCAACAAAGCCTACACGAAATACAGCCTAGAGAAATCTAGTTGAGAGGTTCTGGTAGAATTTAGTCCGTAGTCTACTTATAGTTATTTTTCGTTTTTAGTCTCATCAGTAATTTTCTTTAAATAATAGTATGGGTTCATTTATAATATTACTTAAATGTAGTAAATCAGCGTTGTCAGTTGGCCATACAAATGGCGGCGTGAATGATAAGGTACCATAATGATATGATTTGTGTGAGACCGCTGTAGCCATGGGACCTTGTGGAACGTTTCTTTGCTACGTGAGCTACACGAAGACTAGTAAGAACTACTATACTGTTGATACCCGGATCTTAGCCATAGAAGAATCAACTGTTTAGTTAATTAGTAGATATACGAGTAAATTTTGTGAACAAAGTATGCCACTTTCACGTATGGAAAAACGGCGCCACTTTTACCAATCTAAGAGATACTGTGCTTGGTATTTTTTCAAACTTGTATTTTATAGTATCGCTTGTTTTCATTATACTACACGATTTTGAAGGTTGCTTGCGAGATATCCAAAATGGCTGTGCACATTTAAAATGCCTGCTAAAATATTATGCCTCATTCTATGGCGAAAGTATTAAACAATACATTGTATATCGTCGCGTTTAGTTTAAGATAACCGTACTTGAAGATCATTTTACTTAATTGTGATAGTTTCTATCGCGTATTCTTGTAAATAGAAAGAAACAGACCAATGTTGGATTACAAATTAAATTTTACACTTAAATACATTCATTTTCTGAGTTTACCTTACTGAGCTTTTTCCGTTTTTCATTTTTAGATCTACAACTCGATATGTACGTAGTTAGAACAGAAGTTCTTTAACAGCGTACAGGGGACCTACGCGCATGCAATAAACGGAAAGATGCTCGATAGGATCGCGTGTGGTGAGACCCCCTAGATAGCCAAATACGATTGACTGCACTCCCGTAATCATCCTGCTTTGTTCACTGCGTCATAGACGTCATAGATATAGGACAGGGAGCAAGTCAAACCTGTTAGCCGCAAAGAGGAACAACACGAGGGGGTGTAGCATGAACGACGACGACGACGACGACGACGACTCAAGTCACGAGCCATTTGAAACGGTGTACTTTGATAACCACCTCTAGCCCAGGGGCCAAGGAGACGGAAGTGAGAGATGTGACAATGAACACTGAGGCCTACGGATCTACTTTTTTCTTACTATGTTTTATCGCAAAAGTTTTTTCATGTCATCTTCGTATTCTGAAGTTCTAATGCTACATAAGCACTAGGATGTTCGTTTTGTCGTTGGTCCGCTGTGCTGACGCTTCATAGCGTGATAAGTTCTAAAATCTGTTTTACTAATGAAATCCGTACGCTGGACGATAGTGTCTGGACGCTAATTCCGGCGAGTTGTTGAACTACTGTGGCGACAGTTCAGAAGGTATCCTTGCTTTCGCCTGGTATGAACGAATCGAATTCTGTGCCTTTAGTCCGCAGCAGCCTCTGGCGGAACGTATTCCTTTCAGTCGTAATATTATAGGTTCTAAAGAATCCCCCAAATATCATAACCTGTTACCGACAACAGGACGAAACGATTACCGCTAGAGCTTATCACTGCAAAGTCGGCCATTTCTCAAAACTGCAGCGAGAAATTCCTGCGATTGGTGCAAGTGGCGTAACACTCATACCATTCTCACCCTTACTATTGGCCCTTAGCCATTTTTTTTTTCTATATATATTTCAAGTTTAATGTCGTTAAATACGTTATTCACTAATCTATGGGACCATTTAACCAGAAAAAATCCATTGGAAAGTCGATCCATTGGCCACGGCAATGTCAAGAACAAGATTACTGTTTTATACATGATAATAAATCAGCGACGTGCTTATGCATGTCTTGTAGTTTGCAGGTTAGGGGTCCGGCAAAGGTAAATTTGGCATGGAAAGATTACGCTTAATATTAGTTTTTAGCCTCAGAAAGCTTAACTGCTGAGAGCTAAGTGTTCCTGTAATCGAAGAGTCGTCCAGTAACAATTGCCGGACGAAGCCATGTTGCACCTTGGCAGCACATACCGAGCCGCGAAAATACTCTATCTTGCATGATGAATTCTTCCTCCGGCGCTTGGTGATGGAATTGCGCAAGTTAATGTCTTAGTCAACGAACCTTATACAAGTTGGCGAAAGATATGAAAGGGATTCAAAGACCGGATCTTTCATGTTATAATCAATTTGATCACATTTGTTAATCTGTCTTTGCTGGTAGTAATCAACAGCTTCATAAATACTGGTCAGACACACTGTCCCAACAGTAGATAGAATATATGATACCCTTTAAAACACTTCGCGTCATATGATTTGTATAAATCTTGTAGAGCTTGTAAAACTAAGTGGCGAAGCTTACTAAATGTCCTAAGAATGGTGTTAGGTCGCAACCAGCGGTAGAACCTCCATCTCAATTTCTACCACATCTGGAACACCTACAAGTATCGTCAGGCTCGTGGGCCTGGTCTCCTGCAGTGTCTATGGTATGACCGACGTACGGCAAAGCGAGTAACGACATGTCTGTTTAACCAGTTCGCCTTTTTCCACTCGACCGCTTTCAATGAACATGCATGCCTGCCGTAAATAACGTGAAGCTGCAGTGGATAAAATCAGATTTCGACCCTGCCACCTACGTTCACACCTCACAGACTCACATTTTTGTTGAACTGAAGTTTAAAAAGAATTCGGATTGTCATCTATATCTAAATAGATCCTCTAGCAGGGGTGGCCATCATGCCTATCTCGACTGAGTCATTAGTACGAAAATGATCCCAAAAGCAATGCATGAATATCGACTACTAACTACGAATACAAAGCCTATTAAGATCTAGAACACGACAAGCCTTCCTACTAACTGGAGAACCTGGAAGTACAAAAATCTACAACCTAATTGACACAAAAGCATTCTGCTTTTTGTATCTTTTACGTCTAGCGCATAAAAACCTGCATATTACTTGATGAACGTACGCTGCAATTAAGACTCCTTAGTATTCTACAAAGTTAAATCAAGTAAACCCAAGTTGAATTACCATTTTTAAGAGTAGAAGTTGTTGGATTATATAGGATAAAAAATGCTTAAAAGCGACTATTAAGAACAGCAAGTGACCTTCCTAATAGCGAGTCCTTCTTGTTGTCTATAACGAACCAACAATAATTCTAATTTTCTAGTGAATTCAGCACCGTACATGGACTAGACCTAGGCGATCGTCTGAGGATGTAAAAAAGTATTTGCTAACGTGTATCATTTAACAAAGCTAATAGGAAAGATTTATCTTCTGCTAAACACCTGTGCGATTCGCTGAGGCGGTTTACTTTTGATCACCTGGATCGTGGAGGCGTGAACACGGTGACCAGTTCATAATCCAATATAAAATTTAAGATCATCCTGAATCTTGACTAGTGCGGTTTTTAAATGCGGTGTCTGTTGTGTTTGCTTAAGCCGGGTGTTCTCCTTGACTGCTGAGGCCTGGTGGTGCTCGGGCATACAGGCACAAGGGCCTAGCACAAGGTCGTAGCTTTTTCTAGGAGCTCAAACGGTACTCCTGTACGTTCCATCAAAGTCGTTTCTTCTAGGTGAATGAGCACAAGTCCTCGTCGTCACTCTAAACGGGCGCATAATATTCTGCTGTGCGGGTAGGTGCTTAATATGTAAACCGCTCAAACAGATGAGCCTTGAGTTCGTCCCACGTTCTCGTGCTATCTGCAAGCATGTCGAGCCAATGTTGGGCTGAGCCTGACAGCTCAACCAGAGACTTTGAAACCCGGCGTTAAAGCATGCCGTTGTCTTCAAATTCGTTGCTTTTAGTGGCTCACTATTAGTACCCTTGTATTGAGTACTCTATCGGAGCTCGAACAAGCTGCTGTTTTTTAATTACCACTAACTGTAGCAACGACACACAACGGGCGCTATAAATACGGTTTATTCCACGTCATTTTACTTATATCACTAACGACAGAAGAATATAACATGCTATATAATGTTTATATGTCGTAACACATATCAGATTTATAAACTGATCAGATAAATAAAGGAAACATTTCTATTTTTATTCCTGAAGGACGTATATTTGAAGTAGCTATAATAAAAATTGATAGAAATTAAAACCGGTGAAAATGAA